AAATACTAATAAATGTTTTAATTTTATAATTTTATAGAACATTAATACATAAATATACTCGACCCTTTTTAAACCCCAAATTATTTCGGTGGTTGGTAACCCACCCCTGTACTCTTTGCTTTTTTTCCTGGTCGACACAACCTATAACCTTCTCTCCTACCACTTCTTCCTCCTACTTTAGTGCGTTTGGTTCATATTTTATGAAGAAATTTGACTTTAAAAGAATTAGAACGAAATTTGGTTGTGTGTTTGGTTAGAATGATTTGGAATGGAATATGTTAAATGATTTAGAACCTACCTGTTTTGTTGGTAAAATGTAGCTTCAGAATTGGGATGAATAAAGGATAAATGACCAAAATACCTCTTTTGCTGTTGTTCAGAATGGTGCTGGTCGGTGGTGGTTTAGATCGGTGGTGGTCGGCGGTGGTTCAAATTGTTGTTGGTTGGAGGTGGTTCAGATCAGTGGCGTTCGGTGGTGGTTTAGATCGGTGCTGGTCTGCGGTGGTTTAAAACAATGGTGGTCGACAGTGGTTCAGATCGGTGATGATTGACGGTGGTTCAAAACGGTGTTAGTCGGTGGTGGTTCAGAACGATGATGGTTCCGATCAATGGTTCAGAACGATGGAGGTCAATAGTGGTTCAAAACGGTTGTTCTTCCATCATCGTGATTTCCACCTCTTCTCCAATGTCCTCTCTTTCCCTTGTTTTCTCCCAACATACCACCAAATAATCGGCCGTTTACCATGATAAATAATCATTCGAGAAAAATGTTATAATTTTAGCCACCTTCAAATTTTTCTCACAAAATATTCATGAAATCGCAAGTTAACGATGTGAGGCACTTTTATTTTGCAGTTTATGAAAAGTAGATCCATTGCAAAATAAATTGAGAAATCGCAATTGCTCCACCGTAAGGACATGCATCGACGTACAAGAAGCAAGTCAAAGCTGCAACTTGCAATACTGCAAAGACATGCTTCAACTTATGACACCGTAAAAACATGCCGCAACTTGTAACACCGAAAAAAATATCTTGTAACATTGACATCCAATTTCTTGAATATTACCGATGATGACTATAATATCAATTATTTTTCACGAGATTGACCATCTAAGATGATAACCCCAAGAATTTATATTTTAGTCAAACAACCTCCACTAGAAGACAAAGAAAGAAGCACACATCAACTACTCAACAACCTCCGGTTTCTAATCAGTATTCTCCATGCCATACCTTAACAAAAGCCACATGCCATCTCCGACACAACCTGAAAAATAAGACATATAATATAGGAGTCGTTTACCAAATGTTTACTTGGGTAAGTGAACATCAAGTTATAAAATGTAAAGAAAGTTCACCTTACCAGATGAATATTATAAGAATCAAAAGTCTTACGCGGTAAGAGCGAGATAAGAATCAAGAATCTTACCCGGTAAGTGAGGGTGAGTTTACCATGTAAATTGTTGCATAGGATACCGTTTTGGTGGACTAAAATCTTACCCAATAAGTAAATTATAATGTTAAATTTACCGATAAGCGCTTACCGGGTAAATATTTGGTAAACGGCCCCTAAGTTACGTTTGGTTGCATATTGTTTTTGAGTAATTTGAATTTTATAAAGGGATTTGAATTTAAAGAAATTTGATTAGAATGAATTTAAAATCATTGGTGTGTTTGGTCTATAGGATTTGAAAAAGAACTTGATTTCATTATTTATAAATAATTTGTAAATAATTATATAAAACAATAAAGTTACATTTTTATTAATCGATTATTACAAAACAAATGTTTTTTTAACATTTTTTAAAACCTTATTTCAAACAATCTTATGAAATCTCGTGAAATCCCAAGCACTCCCTAAGGATTTTAAAATCCTATCAATTAGATCCTAGAATTTCAAATCCGGACAATCCAACAAACCAAAAATGATATTAGAATGAATTTGAAAATCCAAATCTCCACAAATCCATTCAATCCTGCAAATCAAACGGGACCTTACCATTAAAAATGGTGGGTGTCCTTTGAACACTATAAGGTAGTGTTTGGTACGCAGACATGATTGGACATGACATATATGGACAGGACACGAGGGTATGATTGAATATGACTGGATTAGACAGAACAAGTGTATATCTGCTGTTTGGTACGACTAGGACTAAACGAGACATAACTAGACAAGTTACCCCCAAAAGTTATTTGATGATTTTAAGTATTATAGGTTATAATTAACACAAATAAAATAAATAATTAAGGATTTTAATTTATAAATATTTTACACAATTTTTATATAAATGAATACATATATATATATATATATATATATATATAATGGTATCAAATTTGAATGAAAAAGTTGATATAATTTATAGTAGTGGTAGTAATAGTGAGTAGTGGTGGTGGAGGTAGTAGTGGTAATGGAGTTGGTTTTGGTAATGGTGGAGGTGGTGGTGGCCGACGGTAGTAGTGGTGGTGGTCGACGGTGGTTATGGTGGTAGAGGTAGTGGTAATTGGTGGGCGACGATGGTTATATAGGACGTGAAGATAGTGGATTGTGGTGGTTGTTGGCAATGGTGGAGGAGGTAGTTGTGGCTGATATAGTGAAGATAGTGGTGGTGGTTATGGTGGAGGTGAGGTGGCAATGGACGGTGGTAGTCGATGGTTGTTGTAGTAGAGGAAGATTTTGAGGTGGCGAACGGATGGTGGCATTGGATGGAGGGGGTTGGTGGTCTACTAAGATAGAGGTGGCGATGAACGATGGTGGAAGATAGTTGTAGAGGCGGTGGAGGATGTCCTTGTAGTGGAAGAAGAGATGGAGGTGGCCGCCAGGCAGCCGAAACTAGCGGTGATGACCATTAAAACAAATACGATATTAAGGTTATATATCAAACTAGGGTAAATTAGTAATATTTTAGTTCCTGTCTCATTTTTGTCCCATCTTGTTTCACCCATTTTGGTAGAACAAGAAAAAACTTATTTTGTTGTCTCACCTTGTCCCCCTTCTTGTCCCTGTCCATATCAAGTCAAACGTGGGACAGTGAGTTCTTCTTATGTCATATGCTATGCCAAACATGGGACATGAGTTTTGTTCCATCCTGTCATGTTTCGTCTCATGTACTAAACACAACCTAAGAAAACAACTTCAATTGCATAATAAAAAAATATTAAAAACATTTTTTTATTAACCTGGATATCCAACCCGCTATGCGAGCCTACTAAATCCCAAGGCGACCACCCGCTTTGCGGGTAGCCCGGAGTCACCGCATTTGAACATCCGTGGCCACAAGAGGATTATTATTCCTCATTGGATCCGAACATGAGACCTTCAGACATTTTGACTTTTTCAGTTCAAGTTCAAACCAATCAGACACCACTTTTGTGGTATTAAAAAAATCTTTAACATTATAATAAAAATAAAGTAATATATTTTATTTGTTTTGTACTATTTTGTTAAAACATAATAATTATAATATATAACTTTGTAATCAATAAATAATTATTACTTGATTTTAAATAATTTATTTATTGTAACATCATTAAAATTAAAATGATAATTTTTTATTAATATCCATTTCACTTCAAAAAAAAAATTAAATTACAATAATTTAAATCTAAAATATAACATAAAAAGTTTAAATTACTCGGTGTATTTTTAGTTATTTTATTTTGTGATATTGATGGTTGCTGTTTAAAAAAAATAAATTAATTCTAAATATAACATACGGTTTAATATTTAATTAAATTATAACAATCTTTGAAGTTAATATAAACGTCTTATAAATGTTCAAATAATAAATGTTTAATATTTAATGTAAGCATCCTTATCCTTTTCTTTATAAATTCATATTACTGTATTCGGTTTTATATTATTGACACATAATTATAATCAATATTATGTTTTTTAAAATTTTGGTTGATGAAATTTAATTTTGTCAAACATTTTACGATGATGATATAAATGTTTATTTAAGTTTTGTTGACCAAAATTATAACAAAATAATTCATATTTTTATTTTCACTAAATTTCGATTTTAATAAAAAAATAAATTATTTAAATATAATTTACAATTTGAAATCTTAGAATAACTAAATTATAGATTTAATACAAACATTAATATATCAAACTATTAATATATAGATAATTATAAAAACTCTATTATATTAATATTTGAAAATAGAGGCCAAATTTTTTGATCTCCAGAAGTAAAGGCCGTGTTTAATGACCTCCATTTCTAATAATATTATAGTGATAAGTTGGAGTCGAAAACACCTATATTTATATATTTATAGTGTTTTTAGTAGCGAGTTGGAGATATACTTGAGGGTTTAAGTTGACATCCATATGTGTTTAGGATTTTGATTTTGATATTGATAATGGATTTGATAGGTTCGTTTAGGGTTTTTATTTTTTAAGAGATATGGATATTTAATTTAGGGTTTTTGATTTTTTAACCTGTCACAAATCTCATGAATAAATTTGTTTCTTATGTTATTGAGATATTGGATTTGTATTCGATTTTACGTATTTTTGTATGAAGTTACTACCACCTCCGTTAATCTTCCTCATCAAATTTTTAAAAAATATATATTTCTAGTTTTCTCAAAAAATTGAAATGAGTTAATTCGAGATTTGGGGTTTAGAATTCATACGTTGAAATTGGAAGGTGATTTTATTTTTTTTTTTAGTCTCGAGTTTGAGTTGATCATCAACAATCGGTGGCGGGCGCATGTGGTCAGAGGAGACGACCAGAGCGGGCACAGGTGAGCTTTAATCGGAGTTGGTGGTAAGTKGAAGGACTAGTTTTAATTTCTAAATACAAAAATGGACAACTATTGTACTTTATGAATTTTAGGGAACAAAACCATAAAATCTGAATAATGTAAGATAGAAATCTTGGAATTAATTTGGGATCACAGAATGAAAGGAGACGGAGTTATTGAACTAACAGGTTACACATCCAACGCTGAAATACACTGTTGATGCATATATCCATTCACCCTTTTACATCAATGGACACTTGTACTCGTTGGGACTAAGTTGCTGACCATGCTTGAAAAACCCAGCCACAGCCATGGCCTCCCTACAAGCTTTACCAAACGGATCTATACGCAAGAGTGGTGGGAAGAACAGCCAATAGCTCGTAAGGATCACAAACATCAAAGTTAATGGCCGGGTGACAGCAGGTGGCGGGTCGAACCTCCTATCCACGGTTTTCTTGACTACAACCTCGGTTCCAACCCAAAGCCCATGAAGTATAAAGAACCAAGTGACTTCGTACGTTGGAGTAAGCCTGCCAAGGTAATAAAAGATTATCTCGTGCATGATCCCCGAGACCAGAAATGTTGAGAAAATTGCAGGCACTGAAACCCATCTTTGAGGAACCATATAACTAAAGATGGTTCGAGATGGTTGGTAAACCGTACTCCGTAGTATGCTAGAAACCATGAGGTTCCATCTATTCCCCCAAAAGTTCTGAACCGATGTGGCATGGTGTGGCTCATCAAACTGAGGCTCAATCTCAACCCCAACTGTGATTCGAGCGAACCAACCTGCTATGGCTAACAACAGCTCAAGCATGAAGAAAAGGTAGTAGGCATATAGACATGTGACAAGAATTGGGTGAAGATGGTCTTTGAAGTCAAAAATCTTAATTGCGATGATGAACAGTAAAACCCTAGCAGTATAATCTTTAGGGGATTTCTTGGTGATTTTGCGAGATGGGTGTTCTTGATTTCTTGTGATCTTGATGGGCAGACAAGCAGCCGATATGAAATGAGATAAAGGAAGATGTGGATGTGAAGATAAAGGACCTTGACCAAAAGCATAAAGCATGAGCTTGAAGCTGCCAAGCCAAGACATGAAGAATGAAGTTGGACCAACACAAAACATGGCGTAGAGATTCAAGGGAAGAGACACGAAGAGATATATGACTGGAAATAGAGCCAAGAATCTAGTTGTACCTTGTGCAATAAACATGCCAACACCATGAGAATAGAGGAGAGATGCCAAAGCAATACTCCAATCTAGCACTAGATTTTGTAACTCTCCCCCCATCTCTCTGCACTGTTTCTGTATAGTACAGGTAATGCTGGCTCATAAAGACCGTGGAGGTATATATAAACCTCATTAGTTTGGTGGTTTCTTCGTATCTCTATCATGAAAATAGTTTATTTTAAAAGAATCCCAAGAAGTTAAAACACAATATAGTACAAAGTTTATTTATCTAGTTAACCCTTAAAAAAAACAAAAAGGGTACTTACTTACGTTAACGATTACTAGTATCAAGTAATATTAATTTAATAAAATATTACAAATTAATCTTTAAGAGAATATTAAATTTTCAAGAACACAAGATAAAATGATGTACTTGGCATGCTTTTACTGTCGGTCTAGGGATGGGTACCATGACCAAAAAGTGGGCATTTCTGATATACATCCATTCAAATTGCTTTTGGATTTTGGATCTCTTGATGTTAAAATCAGCCTAAAATAATTTAGTTTTTGTTTTTTTTTTCTTTTTTCTTTTTCTTTTTCTTTTTATCAAAGACATAATATGTTGATAATCAAAGTTAAAAACATGGAAATACTTTTTTGGGGTAAAAAAGTTTAAAAACATGATACACACCTAACCCTGTCCGCTGGCCTAGACGATTTGGAATGCGACTTGGCGTCGCAGCCAAGGTCGCGATATCTTCTGTTTGGTCTATGTTTTACTGTGATTCTTCACGAGATGGTTCAGGTCACGGCGTTTTGTAGCACGGGCTTGTTCCTTCATGACCTTGGGTCGCATATGAAGTCGTGGGATAGTTCTGGAATTGTTTAAACACTCATTTTGGCTAGGGTTTTAGGCATTCTCAGCATATCTCTTGAAACACTTTTGGACTTTTTTAAACACTTATTTTAGCTAAGGTTTTAGGCATTCTCGACATATCTCTTTCCTAGGCGAATTTGAAGTTATTTGTGAGCACAAATAAGATAGTTTAGCCTTATGATTGTAGGATCTTTATCATATGTAAAATCTATTGTAATCATTTATCTCTTTGATCATCAATGTGTAATCTCCATCCCTTGCCTATGTCTGTACACTATCTCACGAAAGTGGAACTATATTAAAGTGTTGTGTTATTTGCTCAATCATCTCCCCCTAGGTTTCTAAAATATTTTTCAGTCATATTTGAACACCCCCCCCCCACACACACATGTATATATATAGGGGCTCATTCAATGGAGAACTGATTAGTTTGTGGTAACTGTGAAATCCAATCTCAACTACAAATCAACGGATAAATTAGGAAATTAATAATTATGATAGTTTGAGTAAAAATTATAATTAAAGGGCATTTTAGGTATTTAAAAAAACTCCTCTCTCCTCTCTCCATTCTCCTCTCTCCTCTCTCATCTCTCTGATCTCCAATCGCCTGCCTCCGGTAAACATTAATCCGGCAGGTACCAAGTAATCACAAAGATACACAATGTGATACCCATTGTGATATACTGTGATACCAATGTGATACCAACTCAAACCTTAAAAACAAAGATACACAATGTGATACCCATTGTGATATACTGTGATACCATTGTGATACCAACTCAAACCTTAAAAACAAAGATACACAGTGTGATACTCATTATGATATACTGTGATACCGATTTCACCGGAGGCCAGAGATTGGAGGTCGGAGAGATGAGAGAGGAGTTTTTAAAAAATACCTAATATGCCCTCTAATTATAATTTTATCTCAAAATACCATAATTATTAATTTTCTAATTTATCCGTTGATTTGTGATTGAGATTGGACCTCACAGTTTCCACAAACTATTCAGTTCTTATTTGATTAAGCCCCTCTATATATATATATATATATATATATATATATATATATATATATATATATATATATATATATATATGGGTTAGATCACATTAGAACAAATTTCTTGGCAAGAAAAAGAATATGGTCTTTATCTACCTTTATTCACCTCCCTTCACACACCACCATCTACCTTCATTTACCTACATGTATCATCATAATTGAAACTTCAACAAATTTATTCTTGTGAAGGCATTTAAAGATATGTTAAGTTTCATAAAGGTGATGAGAGATTATGATGAAGGTGATCAAGGCACTCCTTTTTCTAAATCGTTGATAAAACGACTCATCCATAGGTTTAGAAGTGATCTTATAAAAAAATTGTTCTCGTATGATTCCAATATATATATATATATATGTATATATATATCTATATATATATATGTGTGTGTGTGTGTGTGCATGTGTGTGTATGGTTGGTTTGCAATGATAACTCCCCCTTTCTATAAGATCTGACCTGATCACAACCCTCAATCACTTTTTGTCACATTTGAAATCCAATGACGATCAATGCACACTTTTTTTATGGAGGAGTATTTTGGTCATTTGTTTTTTCATGATAGTTTTCATGTTAAGGTATGTTCAGATTTGTTAAGGTTTGTTCAGATTTGTTAAGGTTTGTTAAAATATGTTAAGATTCAGTATTTTTCATGTTAATATATGTTTGGATTTGCATGTTAAGGTATGTTAAGTTTATTTGTAACACCCGTATTTCTGTTGTCATCATAAAAATATAATCTCGAGAAAATGGTAGGTGAACGTCCTGGGAAACGATCGAAGAACAACCAAAAGAAACGATCGGGGAAAAGCCGACACATGGCGCGTGAAGGCCTGACACACGACACGTGCGGCTTGCCTACAGCCTAAGCAACGGCGCACAACTCATTGGTTCATAGACCTTGGACACGTGTGACTTTTACCGTGCGACCTACGAGCAAGGTCGTGGGGATGGACCTAGACGTTTTAAAAATCTATTTTTAGGGTTTTGCTTCATTATCTTCTCCTGTCCATTTCTCTCCTCCATGGTGCGATTTTTGGAAGCTTTGGTACAAGATTTGGAGAAATTTAGAGTGGATTTATCTCAAAAGGATATAAAGGTTTGGTATTAGAAGCTTGGATTTGAAGAGTTAGAAGTATTCTATGGAAGGGTTTGGTTGGGAGATCTCAAAATCTTGATGTGGTAAGTTTCTTGAATATTTCCAATCTAGTATGAGGGTCTCTAAAGATCTGAAGTTTATATTCATTTGTGGGTTATTTGTAGACTTGAGGTAATATATTGAGAGAACTCTTGAAGATCCTTGCTTATGGACCTCAATCCCTCACCAATGAAAGTTAAAGATTTGGATTTGGAATCTAGGTTTTACCTAACCTAAAAAGGTGATTTTAAGTTCCTTTGTAAAAACTTTGTACATACAAAAAGTGTCAATTTTGGGTCGTGAAGATGTTTTCTCGATATTTATCAAATGTGATGATTATTTGATGAGATGTGTGTCTTTGGTATATTTGGTTAACAAGTCTTGTGAAATGCCCATATTTGGGACTTTTGGATATTTTTATAAATGAACCACAAACTGTGGATATTTTTTGATGATTTATTCCCCTTTGGGGAATCTATTAGATGTTAAGGCACATTTAACGAATTTGGTATTAAAAACCATTTGGGAAAAAAACTTGCTAATGTGTTATGACACAAACTGGAAATGTAAACAATATGATTTCATTTGAAAAATGATTTGTCTCAACCAACGAGGGTTTTTTGAGCCATTCATACATTTGGAGCATGTGTTTGCATATAGGTTAGTTAAATGTGTTCTATTGTTTATGATGACTTTTTTTGAATAGTCAATCGAGTTGTTGAACTTTTGGCTCGATTTTGGCTTAGGTGAGTCTTGGGTACATTTGTCTGTTTTAATTTGCTCTATGTTGAGCTTTTGGAGTTATATGCAGTTATGGCATATTCATTTGAAAGATACATGCTTTGAGTGTGTTGGTCATTTAACTAGTGTCATGCAATTTAGAAAATAATGTAATGGATCCAAAGGCATACGAGTTGGTTTGTTGATTTGAAATGAGATCATTATCCTTATTTTGTATCTTGGCCTCCATACCAGTGATAGACTTGGAGTTGTTGATCTACACGAGCCATAGACCTAGAGTGGTTGAGCTTGGTTGTGTCGGTATTGCAAAAAGGAACCCATATGGGTTGGACCCCGGGCCCGTATTCAATATTACGGATAGAAACTGTGTGAGTTGGACTCCGAGACCATAATGGTATTATGGAGATGAACTTTTATACTTCCAGATTCGAGACTGTATCCGTATAACAGAATCAAACTCTTATTTACATCATAATTTTTCTTGATGGGTCGGACTCTGGGATCCCGAGTATTACGTTGACGAAAACTCATGTGGAGTCAAACACCGGGACCCTTGTTTTGAGGCTTTGGCCAAGTAGAGTTGACACTAAATCATCGGGAGTATTTTGGGGATGAACTCGTGTAAAGTCAGTGTTGGTCCCGTAAGGGTCTACAAGAATAGAAACAATTTGTAGAA